TAACCTCTACTACAAAGCTGTCATCATCAAGACAGTATGGTATTGGCACAAAAATAGACACATAGACCAATGGAACAGAATTGAGAACTCAGATTTGGACCCAAAAGTATATAGTCAACTAATCTTTGACAAAGCAGGAAAGATTATCCAATGGAAAAAAGACAGCCTCTTTAACAGATGGTGTTGGGAGAACTGGACAGCAACATGCAGAAGAATGAAACTAGATCATTTTCTCACACCATACACAAAAGTAAACTCAAAATGATAAAGGACCTGAATGTGAGACAGGAAACCATCAAAACCCTAGAGGAGAAAGCAGGAAACAACCTCCTTGACTTCAACCGCAGCAATTTCTTACTTGACACATCCCCAAAGGCAAAAGAATCAAGAACAAAAATGAACTATTGGGACCTCATCAAGATTAAAAGCTTCTGCACGGCAAAGGAAACAACCCATAAAACTGATTGGCAACCAACAGAACGGGAAAAGATAGTTGCAAATGACATATCAGATAAAGGGTTAATATCCAAAATCTATAAGGAACTCACCAAACTCCACACCCTAAAAACAAACAATCCAGTGAAGAAATGGGCAGAAGATATGAACAGACACTTCTCCAAATATGACATCCAGATGGCCAACAGACACATGAAATGATGCTCAGCATCCCTCCTCATCAGGGAAATACAAATCAAAACCACACTGAGATACCACCTCATGCCAGTCAGAGTGGCTAAAATGAGCAAAACAGAGGATTCTAGATGCTGGCAAGGATGTGGAGAAATGGGCACCCTTCTACACTATTGGTGGGAAAACAGTGTGGAGGTTCCTCAAAAAATTAACAATAGAACTCCCCTATGACCCAGCAATAGCACTGCTAGGAATTTATCCAAGGGATATAGGAGTGCTGATTCATAGGAGCACATGTACCCCAATGTTCATAGCAGCACTCTAACAATAGCCAAAACATGTTAAGAGCCTAAGTGTCCACCAACAGACGAATGGATGAAAAAGATATGGTTTATCTATACGATGGAATACTACATGGCAATGAGAAAGAATGAAATCTGGCCATGTGCAGCAACATGGATGGACCTTGAGGGTGTTATGCTGAGCGAAATAAGTCAGGCAGAGAAGGAAAGATACCATATGTTTGCAAGTATACGAGGATTAGGAGGAACTTAACGGAGGACCGTAGGGGAGAAGAAGGGGGTAAACAGTGGGGGAGAGGGAGAGAGGCAAACCATGAGAGACTCTCATATGCTAAGAACAAACTGAGGACTGATGGGTGTGTGGGGGACGGGGGGATGATGGGCATGGAGGAGGGCACTTGTGGGGATGAGCACTGGGTGTTATATGGAAACCAACTTGACAATAAACTATTTGTAAAAAAAAAAAAAAATAGTATGTGCTATTACTAGTATACACAATCTTAATATCTGCATTGAGAAAATGAGAGTTTTGATTGAATTGGCTGTGGAGTAAAACGATCTCTAACTTGGAGGTGTGATGACATTTTGTGCAAGGGCTAAGACAGGCCTGAAAAGGATTCTGCATACAATTAAGCCCACTAGGTACCTAGGGGCCTGAAGAAAGGAGCCCTAATACAGTAAAAGGGGAAGGGGACCAATTTGTTGTCATAAGATAAACTCAAACTTCTAGTTCCAAAACTCTATTTAAGGTTCATCTTAACCAATGCAAAAAGAAGACTTTTATCCTACTCCTGCTCTCTGGACCTAGAATTACAGTTACTATCATCACTATTAGCTTTTAGCTGATTTAGCTGATTGTGATTTAAACACTTTTTGAGGACTAGAGTGGGAATCATATAACACTTTACAATACTATTTTAGTATATGAAGTGGCTGAAATCCAAAAAAAACTGAGTTAAAAATACATGCCCACTAGGGCTCCTGAGTGGCTCAGTTGGTTGAGCCTCTGACTCTGGATATTGGCCCAGGTTATGATCTCATAGTTCATGGGTTCGAGCCTCACTCAGGGCTCCACACTGGCAGTGTGGAGCCTGCTTGGGATTTTCTCTCTCTCTTTCAAAATAAATCAATAAACAAAATTTTTTAATAAAAAAAATACATGCTCCCAAAATATGACTGCCTGCATATCGTCTAACAATTAAGCAGCCCTTTTGCTATTTTTAGTTCAAGTCTTTCCTCAAACATTTATTTTATGTGACCTATCTGAGCAACCTATTTAAAATCACAATTCATTCTCCCCTCCTTTTCAGAACATACTTATAAATAAATATACATTTGATGTATTATGTTCACAGTCATTCCCACTAGAAAGTAAACTCACAAATGCAGAAATCTTTTCTGCTTAGTTCACTGAGAAACCCCAATTTCCTGTGGATGGCTTCCTCTTGGGTAGTGACACGGACAGGCCTGAAGAGGGTGAAAGAAGTAACTTTCCCAGAAGATTAAAAAAATAATAAAGCTGTCAGCATATGGCTCCTTCTCCCAAGCCCAAGTCAATGGCTATGACCTTTCCTCCCCTTCTCCTTTCATAAACAGAAAGGAGCTTTATGAAAACTGATATTACTTCTGAATAGGCCAACATTTACGGATGGTGTTGTATTCTTGTGATAAAGCATTCCTTGTGTAGTCAAAAGCACACACAAACTCTGCCCATTTGACAGAATGTTTAAAAAGGAAGTGGCGACTGAACCAAGTCTGGAAACCTAAATTTTTATCCATCCATCCATCCATTATTTACTCAATATTTACCATGTATCAAATTAATGACAACAGTTTGTTACCTCTTTTAAGAAGCTATTAAGTTGTAGACATCTGACTTACAAAAATTGTTAATATCCTTCAATAAGTATAATATGTCTTGAAAAAAATATAGTGCTGGTATAAGGGAGGGTATAAAGACCAGGGAGAAATACAGTCTGACTTTTGTCCAGAATTTCACTGTGGTGGGAATGTAGAGGATGAACTGGACACAGTGAACTCGGAGATACCACCACAGCAACAGTCTAGGTGACAGGTAGATGGTACAATTCATCAAGTGAATATTTCCATGTACTTTCCATGCATTAAATTAAGCCTGGTAAGGATACTGAAGGCTAGCATCATTATTCAAACTTTAAAATAAGGATTTAAGATTTAGAGTGGTTTCATAGCTTGTTTAAGCACTTATAGCTAGATATTGGGAGAGCTGTGATTCAAATTCAAATGCCTAATTTTATTTATATGTTTTTTAAAATATAATTTATTGTCCAGTTAGCTAACATAAAGTGTATACGGTGTGCTCTTGGCTTCAGAAGTAGATTCCCATGATTCATTGCTTACAAACAACACCCAGTGCTCATCTCAACAAATGCTCTCTTCAATGACCATCACCCATTTTCCCCTCCCCCCATCAACCCTGTTTGTTTTCTGTATTTAAGAATCTCTTACTGATTGCCTCCCTCTCTGTTGGAAACTATTTTTTCCCCTGTCCCTTCCCCCTTTGTCTTCTTGTAAATTTCTCAGATTCCACACATGAGTGAAAACGTATGATATGTCTTTCTCGGACTTATTTCACTTATCAAATGCCTGATTTTAAAGCACGAACTCTTGGTCTATAGCATGATTTGGCCTAAACCAAGACTTTAATTGCAATATACTGGGCTTGACCTGCCAAGAACACACAAGCAAATATGTACTGTTGACAGCTAGAGAGACCAGAGGCAATACAGCACAAAATGGTGCCCCTGAGGTCAAGATCAAGAGTATAAAAATAGAAAGGATAGTCAACAGTATGGAATGCCTCAGTAAAATAATTAAGACAGACTTAAAATGTCCATTGATTCTGGCAATTTGGGAGGTGCCTAATGACCTGGCAAGTCTATTTCATTAGCAATACAGAAACTGTATGTCAAAAGAAATTTAGGAATAAAATGTATGGAGATAATGTATATAGATTTCTTTTGAAAAACATGTCCGTCAAGAGAGATAGGTAACATCTAGTAAAGGAAGTAGGGTTCAAGGGAGGCATTCTGAATTTTTTGAAGTGTGTGACAGACCTGAATATGTAGAAGTGGAACGCATCAACAAAGAGGATTAAGATCCAGGAGTCAAAACCCAACTAACGAAGACTAAAGACGTTGGGACACTCAGGGTTGGAAGGATTAGCTTTTGAAAGTGGGTTTTTCACATCTGATCACTCTTGGTTTTCTCCTTAGAGCTGAAGGCATTAGAAAGAAAGCAGGGGTGGATTCGGGGTTTGAAGAGCACAGGAAAGGACTGACACAGCATTTCCTGGGTATGGAAAGGAGAGGATACTGGTGAGCAATGACTCATGAAAGGAATGCTCTGTGAAGAAAGAACTCTGGGTGTCACCTCAGAAATCTAAGGGTCATACCCACAGCAGGGAGACTGGAGGTGAATTCCTGCGGAGAAAATTCTCTAGAGTCAATTAAGTCCATACTCGCTACTGACAGCTGCGTAAATTCCTGGGTCTCCTCAAAGATGCATTAAGGACCACGCAGTGTGGGTACGACCCTCCCAGAGGTCAACCGTGGAGAGAGTGGCGCGCACAGTCGCCTAGCTGGTCCGAACCTGTCCTGGCAAAAAGCCAGGTGTCTCGCAGTGTGGTATGACCGTCCATGTTTGTGGGCGACTCTACCACCGTGGCAATTTAAATTACATCCTTCTGCCTCCCACAGCGCAAGAAACTACTTCATGAGCGCAGCGTTCCAGAACCTGGGCGTAGCCAGGCAGGTAACCCAAGCGGCTGGGCGTGAGGGAAGGCAGCTGCACCAGGCAGCACCCCCTGCCCTCTCGTATTTCTTTCCCGCTCCTTCGGACACGGGGTGGGGGGAGGGGGCTTCAAAGGACGAGAAGCCAGGGCCTCCATGATGACCTGGCCCCGGCGCGGTGTCGGCGGAGATGGCACTGGAAAGGTCGGAGATGGGAAGACACGAAGGGGACAGCGCGTGGTACGGGGTGGGAGCAATGACCCAGCCAGGAGGAGGGCCGCGGAAGTCGGGACGTTACCTCCAACATGCCTTTTCTATTCGCCCCGGCCGTGTCGATGAGCGTGTTGTCCAGATCAAAGAAAACGGCCCGTACCTGGTTCAGGACCATTCCGCAAGCAGCTCGCGTACCGCGCCAACTCGCCTCTGACACCACCACCCACGCAGGCGTGAAGCAGGACTACCGGCACGGAAGACTTGGGCGGAGCCGTGAGGTCACCTGATCATTTCTTGTAGCCGGCGGAACTCCCGCGAGATGTCTCAATAGTGGTGTGTTTGAGCCAGCGAGATACCACGAGACTCCGGAATCGGGGTCTGTAGGTAGCGACTGAAGCGTGTGTTGTCTGTGGGCGAGTATTTATCTGAATAGTTTTGAGTGTGGATGATTAGTGGCGCAGTTTTCTTTGTACCCTCTTTCTGCTTATCTCTCTTTTCGTGTTGCCCCTTTGGCGTGAGGAGAATATCATAACTGCCTTGGGGAGGTTTTCTGTGCCACGTGGCGCCTGGGAAGGAGTCCGAGACGCAGTGGCTTTTCCGTTTACACAAGGTGGGAGGTTATCGTATGGGGAGCTGCCGGCCACTCCGAAACATGGCTGGTGGTTTGCTAACCGTAAGTTGGGTTTGAGTGCGTGTGTCTAGGACCCTGAGTCTGCGGTTACCGGACCAGTCACGTCGGTAGCAGGAATGCCAGTGGGGCGCAAAGGGGTGATATTTACCCTTCTAGAATCCAGTAGCCGTGTTAGAACTGGAGCTCTCACCAGTACATTTTTGAAAGTTGTGGTTTGGATTCCTTGAGACCTCTGATGGCTGTACCTGAGAGACCAAGAGCTCTGTAGTGTCTGATGTTTTGTCCACTTTGATTGCTTTTCCCGTTGCATTTCCAGGTTTTTGGGTACTTCATAAATGGACAGTTTTCAGGTATGTCAAGGGGTTGAGGGATTTAAACAGTCTGTTAACCTCCAAAAGGGCAGTGACAGCTGCTTTCTACTCTTAGCAGAACAAAGAGGTTGAAATTAATCTCAAATCTTCTAAATTGTCTCTGTCGGGTAACTTTACCGAAATGTAGGTATATGGTCATCATTAGTGACCAGAAATTGTCTGTCAGATAGGATAGAGCTGCGGGCCATGTCTGCCATCAGAATTTTGTTGGATCTCTGATCAAAGAGTTGTGGGTTTGTTTGTGTTGTGGGGTGTTTTTTTTTTTACATTTCTAAAAGTGATTGGAAGAAATCAAAAGAGGAGTGAGTATTCATGACACGTGAGAATTATATAAAATGCAAATTTTAGTGTCCATTAATGGTTTTATTGGGACACAACCACACTTACTTATTTATATATAGTCTTTTGCTTCTTTTGCCCTGCAAACAGAGCTGAGTAGTTATGCATGAGACCATATGGCCTGCACAGCCTAAGATATTTACTGTCTGGCACTTTATAGATAAAATTTGCCCACCTTGAGATACATGATTAACAGTTGGGCTGCTGGTGTTCAGTTGAATTAGATCAGTTTTCTTACCTTTATGTTAATAGTTTTTTTTTTTTTCTGCACTGGTATACTACAGTTTCTGTTTGTTTTGCATTTTATAGTTAATCTCTCTTTGCTACTGTTGAAAATAAAGATATTTATTCTTCAAAAACATGACTCTTTGGTTACCCTGCTGATGTGCAGGGCAAGTCTAACAATTTTGGTCATTTAGATTAACAATCAGCTAAAGTTAGAATTACATTAATTGGAGTTAACCTTTTTTAGATGTCTGAGATGTCAGAATAAATTAAATATAAAATGGCTTATGAGTACATGAAGCTTAGAGGATTGCAGCAGTGTGTGTGTGTGTGTGTGTGTGCGCGCTTTCTTTTTCTGGTGTGTGTCTGTGTGCTTTTTTTTTCTGATGTTCATATAGAGTTTGTTGACTTAGTCACAAATCCAAATCCAAACTCGGAGGACATATGATAATCTGTATAATCCTTTAAATAGGCTGGGATAGGGGCGCCTGGGTGGCTTAGTCGGTTAAGCGTCCGACTTTCGCTTAGGTCATGATCTCGCGGTTCGTGGGTTCGAGCCCCGCGTCGGGCTCTGTGCTGACTGCCGGCTCAGAGCCTGGAGCCTGTTTCAGTCTGTGACTCCCTCTCTCTCTGACCCTCCCCTGCTCACGCTGTCTCTCTCTCTCTCTCCTAGAAATAAATAAAATATTTTAAAAAAATAAATAAAAAATAAATAAATAAATAAATAGGCTGGGATATTTGACTGGTTTCTCTTCCTGACAAGTAGTCTAAAGGTATTCCATGACGTGTCCAACTTTGCTACTTAAAGGGAGGTGTCTCCCTTTAATGTCTCAAGGCTTTAGGATGTTGCAGTTAATATTTGTGAACCATTGAGTTTTCCTGTAGCATTTTAAGATAGATATACAGGCTCCTTATAGGTGGGCTTCAGGTACAGTACTTAAAGTTGGTCAGCTTGACAAATTTAATACTAGTAAGAGGTATTATTTGCAGGCTCCAAGTTCTAAGTAAAAGGTGTGTAATTGTGAGACTTGATGTAGTAACACACAAAGTGGAAACTAAACTAACATTGCTTCTTCTGCATTCTACACTGTGGTTAGTAAGTGCCACTGCTGCTGCTCAGCATTGGTTCTGGCCTTTCTTACCTTCAGGAAACTGTTAGGCCCTTCCCACTCACCTCCTGTATACAAGTTCATTAAATTCTATGACCTCAGAAGAGAGGTTTGCCTTCTGGTTGAACATTTCCTCAGAATGGGGCATTGCTAGGTTGATAGGAATAAAATAAAAGCAACTGGAAGAGAATTACAGGTTCCCACTACATCTAGCTATCATCAGTTGTATGCATCAACTTTGCTTGATATCCTTAAATGGACCATCCTTATTGCTTTATGTGGCTAGCCTTTTCAGTTGTTCCTTACATCCCCACCCCTACCTAGGGAAATCTTTTCATCAGTTCCTTCCTAATGCATCAAAATTTTCCCATCTTTTGAATCCACTCCAGTCAGCCTCTCAGTCACAGTACTATACTGAAACTACTCTTGCCAAGTTACCAGGGACCTTCACCTTACTAAATCCAATGTGCTAACAAAGTATTATCAGAATAGTGATAGCTATTATTTAGATGTGTGTACTCACGCACATGTATGCTCTCTGCACACACACACACTTCTTCCAAGGTTTACATATATTTGGAATTCTACAGTCCTGTGCTTCCTATACTAAATCATTCAGGGGACGACAGAAGTAAAAGAAAGTGTTAGTCTTTCCATAGTAAATACAGAATTGTTGTCTTAAAGCATGGAGTTGCAGTACTAAGACTGCTATTCATTTGATTCTTTAGATTAATTTTTTAGGTTAATTTTATTGATTTCTTTAGGTTAATTCCAATTCTGTATATTTTCTTAATCATTAAAATTGATTATTTAAGGATATATTAAATCCTTAACCTACGTTATCTTTTACTAGCTTTTCCTCTTATTTTGTTATTGTTGGTTGATCGGATCTAAGTCAAACATTTATTTGTCTGATTGTGAAAAACAGAATTTGACTCTTTTACCTCCGTGGCTAAAATCCTGTAGACAGCAAAATGCCAGTGTGTCCCAGAGACCGGCAAGGTTTGTCATTCTTCACTTTGAAACATCAATACCCTTGAAAAGAGAGGAGGTTCCACTGTCTGTGGGAAGTCAGGTCCTGCATATCTATAGCCTCATTCCTTTCCCTCAGCGCATCAGGTGTCCAGGGCTTGTCATTCAGAGGTCTCCATGTGTTGCACACAGCTCCTTCTGGTGAGCAATTTGTATTATCTCTCAAGTCCAGTGTCTGTCCTAGAATCTCAGGTTTTATTCCTCTACTAGGAGGAAGCAGCAACCCTTTTGCAGGTACAGTTAGTTTCCTCTTATCAATGAATATAGGTTCCAAGACCCCCGGTGGATGCCTAAAATCGTGGATAGTACTAAACCATATATACACTATGTTTTTTCCTATACATACATACCTATGATAAAGCTTAATTTATAAGCACAGTAAGAGATTAACAACAATAGCTAATAATAAAATAGAATAAGTATAACACTATGCTGTTAAAGAAGTTACATAAATGTAGTCTCTCTCTCTCTTTCAAGGTCTCTTACTGTACCTTACTCACCCTTCTTGTGATAATATGAGATAATAAAATGGCCATGTGATGAAGTGAGGTGAAAGATATAGGTGTTGTGATGTACACTTTTTTTTTTAATTTTTTTTAATGTTTTATTTATTTCTAGGCAAGGGAGAGAGCGTGAGCAGGGAAGGGTCAGAGAGAGAGGGAGACACAGACTCTGAAACAGGCTCCAGGCCCTGAGCTGGCAGCCAGCACAGAGCCCGATACGGGGCTCGAACCCACGAACCATGAGATCATGACCTAAGCAAAAGTCGGACGCTTAACCGACTAAGCCACCCAGGCGCCCCTGTTGTGATGTACACTTAGGCTACTTTTGACCTGATAATACATTAGAGGGAGAATCACCTGCTTTTAGACTGTGGTTGATCATGGGTAACTTGGTTGACTATGGGTAACTGAAACCATGGAAAGTGAAAGTGGGGATGTATATACCTCTTTATAGCCATACAGGGTGATTTATGATTATATTTCTCTCCCTTTGGATAATCAAACCTATGAGGGAAGAGACCTATGTCAGTTTCACTTACCATTGTATCCTCAGAGACTAGCACTCTTCAAAGCATATAGTAGGTCCTCAATAGGTATATATATTTAAATGAATTAATGGTAGCTTCGCCAGTCCCCTTCAATCCAGACCAGGGTGTGATGACTAGATCCATTTCATCTTTTCTTCTTCGACCTTACCTGACGTGGGGAGAAATGGAGCAAACTGGAGAGTACAGAAGGAGAGGGCTTAAAAAAGTGGGAGTTGAGAAAAGCTAAACTTTTCCAGTTTTCTTAGCCTTCAGAGGCTAGAGTATATAGATGGGAGAAAAGTCTAAGAAACATATAAGCACAGTACCCTCCTGTGCCAGACCATTTTGATTTATAAGAACTTGCTCTCAAGTTTTGTATTAAACTTCTAGTATGTGTTTACCCATCTGCTTCCCAATATAGACTGTAAACCAAATGAGCTGTCACCTGCCACTGAAAACTCAAGTGATGATATGACCCAAACCCTAACCTGATTTAAAAAACA